AAATGTAACCCTGCTGGGTGCAGGGCACGGTGGTGCACACTTGTAATCCCAGCTACTCAGGAGGCTGAAGCAAGAGGAGCACAAGATCAAGGCCAACCTATGCAATTTTTTGTTGTGGTTGATACTGGGAATTGAACTCATGGTCTTGTACTTGCCAGGCAAGTGCCGTGCCACTGGGCTACATTCCCAGCTCTAACCTACATAATTTTGAAAGACTATGTCTCAAAAACTTTAAAAAAAATTAGGAAGGGCTGATGATGTTGCTTGGTGGCACACTTGGATTCAGTCCTGAGCACTGGAGGAAAAAGTGACCTTGCTCCTACACATTATGCATAGATGAATCCTGACAACCATGAGCGCATGCAAGAGACCTGACATCTTACTGCAGCCTCACAAACTAAGGAGAAAACACATCTCTGCCTGCCCTTATGAGATAGTAAATCTGTGCATTTTTTAAAGCATTAAGAAAAAAAAAGGGGGGGGCCTGGCCAAATAGCTCAGCAGATTAAAGTGCCTGCAAGCAGGTGCAGGGGCCAGGGGTTCAATCCCCAGGCCTGCTGTGCCGGCCCCGCCCCTGGGGCAGCTAAAAGCTACTGGACACGGTAGCGCGTGCCTGTAATCCCAGTTCTTCGGAGGCTGTAAACAGGTGGATCACTACAAGTTCAATCTAGTAGTGAGACCCTTACCTTAAAAAGAAAAAAAGAAAAGAAAGCATTAAGGTGTGATAATTGGTTATATAGCAATAGGTATCTAACACAGTGGGCATGTGCATACTCCTATAAGCCTTTCAACTGTGCTGTATATTTAAGACTTTTCTTTTTTTCTTTTTCTCTCTCTCTTTTTTTTTTTTTTTTTTTTGCAGAACCAGGGATTGAACTCAGGCCCTTGCGCTTGCCAGGGAAGCACTTATTCCACTGAGCCATCTCCCCACCACACACCCCCCAGACTTTTCATAAAATATTAGGGGGAGGCCAGATGTGGTGGTGCATACTTGTAATCCCAGCACTCAGGAAGCTAACTAAGACAGGAGGATTTCAAGTTTGAGGCTAATCTAGGTTACAAACTGAATTCAAGGCCAGCCTGGAATGCATAGTGAAACTCTATCTCAAAAAGACCAGAGCTTGCCTGGTTAGCTCAGTTTTTTAAGTGCCTGCTCATGCAAATGCAGTCAGGGGGAGGATATCAAGGTTCAAACCCCACCTACACCTGCTTTAGCAGACCCGCCCTTAAGGCAGGCTGAGCCAGCCAAAAAAAAAAAAAAAAAAAAAAAAAAGACCAAAAAGGGGGCTAGCCAGATAGTTCAGCAGATTAAAGCACCTTCTTAGGCAGGCCCAGGGACTGGAGTTTGATCCTCAGCACCACATGCTGTGCTGGCCCTGCCCCTGATGAGCTGAGACAGCCACTGAGACTGGGCATGGTGATGTGCGCCTGTGATCCCAGCTCTGGGGAAGCTAAAACTAGGAGTCTGACCTGTGTAGTGAGACCCTGTAGTCCTTAAATACATAGAAGGAGGAGGAGGAGAAGGAAGAGGAAGAAGAGGAAGAAGAGGAGGAGGAGGAAGAAAGAGGAGGAGAAGAAGAGATCAAAAAGAGGTGGGGGGGGCATGACAACTCAAGCATATGATTTTCACAACAGACCCTGAGGCAGGAGGATCATGAACTTGGGACCTGCCTAAACTTCAGAGTAAGATTCTATCTCCAAAAATATGCTGAGAGTGAGAGCATATGCCTATAATCCAAGCATTTAGGAGGCTGAGGCAGGAGGATTGCTGCATATTTGAGGCCAGCTTGGGCTATGTAGCAAGACTCTGTTTCAAAACAAAACAAAATGGACTAAGGAATAAATTTTAATTGTCACAAAGAATTACCTCAACGATCACAAAGCCCTAACTAAGTCAGAGATCTCTGCCAAAGGGCCTGTTCCAAAGGCTCAGGAACAACTGCAAACATGCCAGATGCATTTCAGAGTATCAGCATAATTCAGGTTTCTGAACCCCCAAATGCAGAACAAATCAAAACAACTGGCAAATATCACTCGTTAATAAATGTCAGGGCAGGAGTGGTGACACACACCTGTAATACCAACACTCTGGAAGGCCGGGGCAGGAGGCTGGAGAATTCGAGTCTAGCCGATGTCTCCAGCCTGGCCTGACACTCCCAGCCCAGTGCTTCTCCCGCAGCTGAAGCATTACTGTGCTCAGGGAACCTAGCTCAGCACTGAAGTTACAATTGGCAAACACAGGACAGGAGATAAGATAGGACAAGGAATTCTGCGGGTCCTGGAGATGTGTGGAGATACCAGAAGTTTACCTCACATTTCAAAGGACTCTGCCTACTGAGATTCAGGATTGCCTGGGGCTGGGGAGATAGCTTGGTGCCTGTCTGGCAAATACATGGTTCAATCCCCAGTACCACACGCTATGCTATCAGAACTGGGTGTGGTGATGCACTCCTGTAATCCCAGTGATGGGGAGGCCAAGACTGGAGGACCACTATGAGTCTGAACTACATAGTGAGACCCTATACCAAATAAATAAATAAATAAATGATTTTTTTAATTTAATAAACAATAAATAAAAATAAAAATTTTGTTTTAACATAGGATCTCATTAAATTGCCCAGGACAGCCTTGAACTTGTACCTCTTGTGCCTCAAACTCCTGTGTCAGTCACTAGGATTACAGGTCTGCACCACTATGCCTGGCGCTATCTACTTTCTACACTACCCCTTCCCAGACTCTGCTGTCCTCTGTTCTTCCCTCTTTCTCTATGACAGCAACTTTTTAGATTCTATCTAAGATCACACGGTATTTGTCTTGCAGTGATCAACTTATTTGACTTCATAAAATGTCCTTCAGGGTCCTCCACATTTCCATAAATGACAGGATTTCTGGTTTAAGTTTTGACTCAAACCAAACACTATAAAAAATATTTATGAGGTAGAGGAATCTGAACACAGATGAGGTATTTCATGACTATTTTTGTAAAGTATCACAATGATGAGATTATTATGTTAAAGAAAAAGTCCCTAGCTTACCTATAGAGATACATATTGCAATGAAAATCTGAATTTGCTTTAAAACAACCCAGAGCCAAGCATAGTGGCGCACACCTCTGATCCTAGCACTCGGGAGGCTGAGGCAGGAGGATCACCATGAGTTTGAGGCCAATCTGTGCTACAAAGTGAGTTCAAGGCCAGCCTGAACTACATAATGAATCCTGTCTCAAAAAGACAAAAATAAGTAAATAAATAAAAATATAGGGGCCGAGGAGATAGTTCAGTAGAATAAGTGCTTGCCTGGCAAGCACAGGGTCCTGAGTTCAATCCCCAGTTCCACAAAAAATAAAATAAAAATAAAAACAACCCAGAGAGAATGAGAATGGGCTGGTTAGAACAAGCCTGTGGAATATACTGAAGCTGATATTTGAACAGTGATTGGTCATAGTACTGCACTCCGCACTGTACTTTCATGTACAATTGAACATTTTTATAATAAAGTCTGACAATAAATCCAGAACAAGGGGCCGGGGAGATGGCTCAGTGGAATAAGTGCTTCTCTGGCAAGCACAAGGGCCTGAGTTCAATCCCCGGTTCCGCCAAAAAAATAAAAATAAATAAATCCAGAACAAGATTGGCTCAGTCACACACCAATAATCTCAACTACTCAGGAGGCTGAGGCACGAGAATCATAAGTTCAAGGCCAGCTTTAGCAACTTACAAAGACCCTGTCTCAAAATAAAATTTTAAGGGGTCTGCCCCTTAGCTCAGTTGTTAAGTGGCTGCTTCAACAAAGCAGTCAGCCTCAGGTTGCCCTGGTTCGATACCCACAACTTCAGCCAGCCAAACATGCCATGAAGGCATTCGGGCCAGCCAAAAAAAAAAAACCCTCTGTCAAAATAAAATTTTAAAAAGGACTGGAGATATAGCTCAGCTTTTTCTGGGTTCAATGCCCAGCATTAAAAACAAACAAACCAAAACATTCACATCTGGATTGGATCTAGAATACTCAACCCCAAAATCAGTAAGAAAATGACAGATAATTCAATAGGATGGGGAAAAAAAGAGCAAAAAATATTCAAACAGCAAATAAACACAGCAAAAGGCCGGGGAGATAGCTCAGTAGAATAAGCACTTGCCTGGCAAGCACAGGGTCCTGAGTTCAATCCCCGGTACCACAAAAAAAAAAAAAAACCAGCAAGGTATCAAAACAAGGTGATTCTAGCACATGAACAGACATATATATCATGTGTAAGAACTTCATGTAAAATGTTGACAAAAAAAGGATAGAAAGATGGTTATAGATAAAAGAATTTACTGGGATAGGACCAGATTTAAGGCCTTTGTCAGAACACCAAAATAAATTTTGGTTGGTCTAATTTAAATCCAAAAGTACAAGAGCTGGCCAAATACCTCAGCGGATTAAAGCTCCTGCAAGCAGGTGCAGGGGCCAGGGGTTCAATCCCCGGGCCTGCCATGCTGGCCCCGACCCCGGGACACACTGAGATGGCAAATGAGACTTGGAATGGTGGTGCGTGCCTGTAATCCCAGCTCTTGAGAGGCTGTAAACAGGCGGATCACTACAAGTCCAACTTAGCAGTGCGACCCTGAACATTTTGTAGACTGTTCCCTAAAATAAAAAAAAAAAAAATTTAAAAAGTACAAGTTCAAAGAAAACAATGAAGCTTGTAGACCCAGCAGCATACAGCTGTGATCCAGCGGCTCAGGAGTCTGGCCAGTTCAACACCAGCCTGCACAATACAACAAACAGACCCTGTCTCAGAACCAAACAACCAACCAGCCAGGCCAGCAGGGCAAGTTAGTGACAGCCTGTCTCAAAATAAAAAAGGGCTATGATTATAGTTCAGCACTCGCTGGGGTCAATCCTCAGTAAGCCAACAAAAAAAGCCCCAACCAAAAACAATGAAGCAAGACAAGAAAGGCGGTTCTCCCCAGTTCTCAGCTCCGTGCCCAGGAGGCAGGCGGGGCAGGGATGGCAGTTACCGCGTCGATCTCGTTGAGGACCTTCCACTGCTCGTAGGGCACCGCCAGCGCCTCCGCCGTCTGGATAGTCCTCTTCATCTGGCTCGTCCACACCTTCAGATCCTTGATGTTCTGGTCACTAATGAACTGAGCCAGGCGCTTGGCAAACTGGAACACATCACAAGTCACTTCAGACAGCAGGTTCCGAGCAGCCCTCAAAGGACAATACAGATAGGGTCCGCCCACTCCTCAGAGAAGACAGCTTTACTAAAAAATGTCAGCCAACCTCCTGACCACAGCACCCACAAGGCTGACCTCACGTACTCTCCTAGACCCTGAGATAGCTCTGGCCGTGCCGCATCAGCCCCCTACCCAGTTCACGTGCCCTGGCCCACACAATCCCCCTGCAAAGCTCCAAGATCCCTTCGATTGTGGCACAGCCATCAGCTACACCGCTGAGGCTCAGGTCACTGCAAGGATGGCATGACTGCCCGCAAAGGGGCTCAGGTTCTGGCTCCCAAGCAGACTATACATGCAGGCCCTTGCTTGGTGGCTGTGACCTTTCCTACAGAATAGGCACATTCAAGACTGAATGAAGGCCATCAGGTGAATGCTAGCTAGAGTGTCCCAGAAGCCCAGCCCCTATACAAACGCATCCATCTAGCCAGCTACCCATCGATACCAGTGCACAGACACATGGTCAACATACACACTGACCTCCCGGCCCCGAGGGGACAGTCCTGGGTCCCCACCAATCCGGCCCTTGAGGTTAAGCTCACTCTCCCCATGCCGGCAGAGGTAGATAGATCGGGGTGTCACGTGGATGTTCATGAGGTAGTACACAATTCGGCTTTGGATGTGGTCAGCTACTCGGTTCACCACGTAGCTCTGCCCCACGTCCATGATCTTGATATAGGACAGATCCCTTTCCAAAGAGAAGGCAGAGAGAGACCTGTGAGTCCAGGCCGCTCAGAGTACATCTGGCCAGCCACAGGAGCCAGACAGGAGGGCTTGCATCCATGAGCATGTGACTAGGCTTGAGTCACAACACACAGGACCATCAGCTGATATGCAAGTGATGGGTGGGAGGCAGGAGGGGCATGCCACATGTGACACACAGACAAGCGCTGTGAGAAGTGCCCAGCACTTATCATGCTTCTGAAGGTGACATCCAAAGCGGTGGCCAGCCACAACACATCATCACTGCTATGCTGCTCACACACGCCCAACCCTTCCGTGTCCACATCTGAGCTCTCAACACACAGGCTGCACACTGAACACAGAGTCAACTTCTGCAGGAAGTGGCTGGCAAATGCGCTCTGCTCAGCTCTCCTTCCCCTTGTCCAAAACCCCAGTCCAGGTGGCCCAGGTGTGCTAAGCAGCTGCCAGGCACCCAGTGGACAAGCCCACGAGCCTGGTTCAGCCCTCTCTCTGCTCTGGCCCTGGGCAGTGCTGCAGCCAGGATAGCTCGCTTACAATGGCAGGAGTAGGGCCAACTTTAACTCAGCTTCAGAGCCATCTGGATATTCCCATCTGGGTCTTCACTGTAGGGACTGTGTGGCCTCGGTTTAGGGTCACTACACTGATACCACCACAGGAAAAGTAAGAGCCAGCTTTGCAGGAGCTGCTCCAGACACCAGCACCACACACACACACACACACACACACACACACACACACACACACACCAGTGTGGTCACATCGCAGAGCAATGAGAAAAGACAGAAATGGGGAGGAAGAGACAGTCACAAAAGAAAGCACAGAGGCCTGCAGGGGCCCAGTGCCATTCGGCTCCACCCCAAACGGGGCTGGCTCCTGAGCCCAGCATTGAGGAGGGGGCACAAATGTCTCATCCCATGGCAGTCCAGGGACAACTCTGCCGTGACCCCTCAAAAGCCTTTCCTCTAACAGCTGAAATGTACCTCAGTCCACATAAATTACACATTCTGTAATTTTTCTTTAATGTATGTATTTGGTACAGGGTCTCACTACGCAGCTCTGACTCGTAGTGATCCTTCTGTTTTCAGCCTTCCCAACACTGGGATTACAGGCATGTGCCACCACGCCTGGTCTCAGTGGCCAGCTCAGTGCTTGCCTAAGTCCACTGAGTTATCTCGCCAGCCCTTCTTCTGTAATTATACAGGACCCAAGTACACATTTATATTCCAGTCTTTCACTTAATGCTACACAACATATGTATCCTTGTGTCTCTCCATAGCTATAATTTATAAGGCTGTTGCATATTTTACCAAAGGCTACACTGTTGTTTACCTAACCACTGACCACTTACGCTGAGAGACAGGAGTTGGCAAACTACAGCCACAAAGCCAAAGGCAGCCTAGAGGCTTTCACAAAGTTTTCATAAAACTTTCACAAAGTTTTATCAGAACACAGCCATGCTCATTTATGTCCTATTTCTTTTGTCCTTACAACAGTAGAGCTGACGAACTAAAACAAAGATGTAAATCTTCCAGCACCTAAAGAGTCACTCTCTGGCCCTTACAGGAAATGCTTGCTGACGCCTCAGCCAGACACCCCGCGGACCATCCACACTGCTGTTCCCCTCTTCCTGTGCCCATGCAGCGCCCCCCACCGCCCCGCAGACTGCACACTGAGAGATGAGCATGTGGTGTCTGCAACGCCTTGGAGGCCCCTCTGCACAGAAATCACGCTTGATTCTGTGCTGGAACAGTAGGCAGTCCTGACTCGCAGTTCCCGGTGAGGTAACAGGTGTTCTGCGAGTCACCTCTGGCCAATGATTTCTGCCTCAAGGAAAGAAACAAAACAGGTCAGACCATCTCTGCTTCCTGGCGTGGGCCCCAGCCACCACCATGGGGAGGCCAGAAGGAGGCAGCAAGCACAATGCCCACCCCTCACTCACCACAGCTGCGCTCCTCTCTCACCTGTCCAGGTCCTCATCCAGCGACTCGTATGAGTTCTCATAGCACTCAATCCGTCGCATGAAATCTTCAGTGGCCTCGTCACTGTCCCGATTCACATAGTCAGGGCTGCCCAGCTTCACTTGCTGCCAAATCCAGGCCCAGAACAAAGACACATCAAGGTCAGGCAGGGCTAGAGGCCAAGGAGACTGTTGGGCAGGGGTGGAGCTGAAACTGGAAGCTGGGTGGGGGGAGAGTCCAGCAGCACCCGGCCTGAGTTGGCACACAAGTGTCCTCACCTTTGTGGCTCAGGGAGGCCTAGGAGCCTTTTCCTACTCTATTGCAGCTCCCTAAACCCTCATGGTCCTCCCTTCAGAGGGGGTGAGGGACAGAACAGAACTCTGTGCACACACACTCTGGGCTGAAGCTCCTCTCCCACTGCCTAGGACTCTCAAGAGACAGGACAGGGAGGAGAGGTACCAGGGAAAACCAAGAAGGTACACTCAGAGCCATGCAGTCTGCTACATACGTGGTCCTTAGGAGACAGGAGTTGACCCACACTCCTGACCCACGCTGGTGACTACATAGCTTCCCCACCCTCAGGTTCAAGAAGTTCAGAAGAAGGGCAGCCAGGCAGCAACCCAAACCGAGGACCTCACTGTCCCTTCTATTTCATTACTGCCCCCACAAGGTCAGGTGCACACTCACCACAATGTTGGCAGCTATGACCTCAGGATCCACACAGATGGACTCAACAAAGAAGGTCTGCGATAAGAGCCAGAAGCACCCCGGTAGGTAGGAGAGAAGGGACCTGGGCCTGGCTCCCAGGGCTTTCCACTCCCTCAGGCCCCTCTTCTAAGGGAGCAGGGTTGAAGACCGCAGAGCTAAAGAAGATCCCACCCTGTCCAGTACTCTCCCACTAAAAGTTCAGAAGAGGAAGGACAGGGCTGGGGAGATAGCTTGGTGGTCTAAGTGCCTGCCTGGCAAGCACAAGGACCTGGGTTCAATCCCCAGCACCACATGCTACGTACCAAATAAATAAAGATTTAAAATTAAAAAAAAAAAAAAGAAGAAGAAGAAGAAGAAGAGGAAGGACAGCCCCTCTCATCCCAAATGTTCCCTTTGGAATCCATGCCAGCCCAAAGCCTTGCATGAATCAGGAGGCTGTGAAAAGACTCCCTGAAGGTCCAGATGTACAACTGCCCAGCCAAGAAGGGCACCAAAGAGACCTTACCTTATAGCCATTCTGTTCTCCAAAGTTAAAGATCGTTGCTCTCCGCTCTCGAGTAGTATTGGTTGCATCAAAAACCTAAAATCAAACTGCAGTTAACTTAGCTCTGGCCCCAGGAAGGCCGGAGGCACTTGAGGGCCTCAGCACAAGCATCTCTTTCCAGTGCCAGGCTTCTCACCAGGCCCAGCTGGGCCCCCGTCCTGGACAGTCCCCTCCACGCCTGCCCAGAGGAACACTTGCTGCAATGCTTTTTACACAGCAGGTGCTTAGTGTGCGGCCAGCAGAAATTCCAGAGAAGCCAGTTAGCCCTGACACTGTGGCTTGGATGCGGCTGTTCCCCTGAAGTGCATTCAGGGTAGTGCTCCCAGGAGGGCTGTAATACAAAGGCAAGCCTGGTCCACCCACTTAAATGTAACCTTTGCTTCCTGTGTAAGCTCCATCCGTGATGCCTTGAGGTCCTCCAAGAGACTGAGTCAGTGAGGGTACCCAGCTTCAAAACTGTGATCTACATAAACTTCTTTTCTCTACAAAGTTGTCTGTCTCTATAGTGTTTTCTTACAGCAATGAAAAGCAAACTAATGTCTGGTAGACTAAACCTAAACCTACTCTTATTTATACTCCACTCTGAAACACCAAGAAAAGAAAACAGGACCAAAAGAACAAGAGAGGGCAGGAGATGGAAACTGCAACAAAATATAAAACAGACACCTAGTGAATGACTAAAAGGAACAGAGAAAATAGAGGCTGGAGGATCATAATTCGAGACCTGCATGGAGGGCCAGCCAAACAGCTCAGAGGATTAAAGTACCTGCAAGCAGGTGCAGGGACCAGGGGTTTGATGCCCAGGCCTGCCATGCTGGCCCCGCCCCCACCTCCAGGGCGTGCTGAGACTGAGATTGAGACTGGGTGTGGTGGTGCACACCTGTAATCCCAGCACTTGGGAGGCTGTAAACAGGACAGTCACTATGAGTCTGGTCTAGTAGTGAGACCCTGAACGCCTTGTAGACCCTTCCCTAAAATACAGAAGGAAAAAAAAAAGACCTGCATGGGCAACTTCACAAAACTATGTCTCAGAAAAACAAAACAAACAAAGCCAAAAATGGGCTAGAGGTGTAGCTTAGTGATAAAGTATTGTCTTGGCACACGAACTCTACCTTTAATACTCAGTACTGAAAACACACACACACACACACACACACACACACACACACACACACAAAGAGGGGGCATCAGTCAAGTTCTCCAGACACTCCAGCAAAACCTCTAACAAGAGGGCTGAGGATATAGCTCAGCAGCGCAATGTCTGCCTGGCAAGTGTGAGCATCCTGAGTTCAATTCCAATACAAAAAAAAATCCCCAAAAACCCTCCAACAAAAAAACAGAGACTAAATAAGACTACTTCCAGAGCCAGGTGCGGTGGCACAAGCTTCTCATCCCAGCACTCAGGAGACTGAGGGAGGAGAATCACTGTGAGGTCCAGGACAGGCTGGTCCACACAGTACGCTCAAGGCCAGCCTAAACTACATAGTGAAACCTTACTTCCAAAAATAAATAAAAAATGCAAAGAGAAATATGAAAAGATATAGTAATTATGAAAGAACAGAGTTCTAAAAATTGGAATACTCACTCATGGATGATCACTGAAATTTGAAAAAGAAACTGAACCAAATGCTTACAAGATAATGTTTAAAAAGTCTCCCGCAAAACAAAAACGACAGAGGAAATGAGGGAATGGATAAACAGGCCCCAAAGACCTAGCACAGGCCTCACTTCCTTGAGGAGCCAAGGGCCTCTGGAGGAGCAGGAACAAGAGGAAACCCCAGCTCTCCCTACAAGATGAGACTTTCGGGAAGACCAGCAAATCCAAGTCATCACATTTCTCCATGGCCACACTAAAGCCACAAGACCACAGGACAATGTCATAGAAACTATAAGGAGAAGTTTTTTCCACCTATAATTCCATACCCAACAATCTAACATAAAGATTTTTCAAAAGACACTTCTGATATGATATGAAGGCATCATTTACTTCCCAAGCACCTTTCCTAGGAAGCTGCTGGACGATGCATGTCTATAACAAGTCCATAACCCATAGCATGCATACGGGGTTGAATGCCCAGAGGCAGGGCATTCAACCAGGAAGATAGTAGAAGGAACCACCATGTGACGGTCATGCTACAGTCAGCTAATCCAGATGTGAGCTGGGCCCAGAGAGTTCCAAGAGGCACAACTCCAAGACCAGAATGGAGGGCCAAGCATGGTGGAACATGCTTAGAACCCCAGCACTTGGGAGGCTGAGGCAGGAGGATCATTGTGAGTTTAAGACCAGCCTGGGCTACAAAGTGAGCTCAAGGCCATCCTGCACTGCGCAGCAGGACCCTGTCTCAAAAAGACCAAAAAAAGAGAGAAAAACAGACAAGACTAGAAGGAAAAGAACAATTTCTGGGTCTGAGGACAGGTGCCCAGCTCAGCCTTGCCCCACCCTGCCAGCTCACTACAAGGCCCACCACACAGTGAAACTCCCTTCCTGGCCTTGATCAGCTCCTCAGACAGCAAGTGAACCCTGGGTAGGACTCACAACTCCAGCAGAAATGACATGTGCAAAAGACAAGTGTCCTGACAGCCCAAGAGGAAAGGCCTGTGGGTCCAATGCAGCCATAAGCCCCCGAGGCAACTCCTGAGCTGCACACAGACCCTGGTTTCCTCCTGTAGGGCTGCCAGACTTCCTCCCAGGACCGGCACCTGGGGCACCCGACACACAGTCCCTGCCATCCCCACTAGGTGCCTGACTACCAAAGGGTGTTGAATGTATGTTGGCCCATGTCTCCCTCCCAGCTGTCACCACAGTACCACACTTACCGCCACATGTCCTCCTTCCTCACTGAGGAACCTCCGGACATCACACAGGGCTGCCAGAGCACACTGCCTTTGAGAGAGAAAAGAATCAGCAAAGTACCAACCCTGGCTATGGGAAGGCAGAGGGTAGAGCCTACCCAAGCCCGGAGAGAGACTGCCTCTTGGCCATTCTTTCAAGTTCTCCTTCATTCTCAGGAAAATTTCATTCATGCTCAGCGTCTGGCTAACACTGTTCCATAAGGTGGAAGGCTATGTAGATCTTGCCATTAGCCATGATCTAAAAACCACTTTTCCATGCTTGCCTCATCAGCTCATTGTGAACAAACCCATGCCAGTGTGATTCCTGTCATGCATTTCGCTGATTATCAGAATGTATCTGTATGTGTGGATGGAGATGGAATATGTTATGGTTGATACAATGTGTCACCTTGAGAAACTTAGAAGTTTAATTAAAGGACTCAGCAAGGGGCCAGAGTCCTCACTTTGTAAACATCCTCAGCCTGTGCAAGAGGAGGGCAGTAGATGGTGTGAGTGCTACACCCACCCCCAGGCCAGGGTGCTTACAATACAAAGGAGAAGAGTCTTGCTCTCTCCACTTTTGCTCTTGTTGCTTTTGCTGTCTTTTGCCACCATGAAGTGTTACCTGTCACCATGCCACCCGGCCTTGGAGCCAGCTGATTTTGGACTAAAACCTCCACAAACTGTGAGTGAAATAAACCTTTCCTTCCTTCATTTTTGGTGTTGGGTATTTTGTCTCAGCAGTGAAAAAAAGTAACCAAGACAGGACAGGAGAGATACTTTGGTTGTTGGGGGGGGGGGTCAACACCAAGTTTAATATTCAATTTTCTTGGGTTTTTTTTTTAATATTCAATTTTCTGGGGGCCAGGGAGATGGCTCGGTGGAGTAAGTACTCCCCTGGCAAGTGCAAGGGCCTGAGTTCAATCCCCGGTTCCACCAAAAAAAAAAAATTCAATTTTCTGTCTTGGGAAAGCATACTCCCCATACCACCCCCCAGAGGAAGAAGTCACCACTGTGGCCTGAGGTCCATATTCACAGACTTCTGCAGCTTGTGACCCTCCTCAACACCGTACCATGGCTAGTCTCCAGAATCTCATTGCTGGGAAATGGACTGGCATAAGGAAAGACCTTTCTTGCCCTTTTACCCGTTTCTCCTATAAGCCTGGAAACATATATATTCCCTTTACTTTTTATCCATTACCTTCACCTTTTCAACATGAGAATTAAGCTAGATCTCATTAAATGTGTTTGATCTTTGGACTTTGTGCATAAGCTCCCCGGGGGTCAAGTCAAAGAACTAGGCTGTGAGGCTCCTATGAAGTCAGTGTGCTGAAGTACAGAGGCAGACGCTCCACACAGTCAGCTGAGAACCAGAGAGAAACCAGTAAGAACACTGAGCTAGGTCTCTTAAAGGAGTCCTGCTCCCGTGCTACCTTGTGACCTTTCTGTGCCCAATAGATCTTTCACGTAATCCTCAAAGTGTTTTCTTCTCCTGCACAAAACTCTGGATTCTGAGAATCTACAAAACTCATTGTAAAAAAACTCATTGCTGGGCCACTTTTGCCTGCCTGCAATGGGTTCCAAGTACTGGTCAAGGATCTTTCATGGGCCTCCCTTCCAGCATCTGGGAGGGAACTCAGATCCACTGGAGATGCTGGAAAAACAGGTCAGAACTGTGGGTGCATGTGTGTGTGAGGGTAGATGCACACAGGCATTTATCTGCATATGTGGGTGCATATGTGTGAGTGTGCTATGTCTACATGTGACCACTGAGGTCTGGCCATGTGTATGTGTGAGCACAGCTGAGTATGTACAAGTGTGCCCATCTCCTCATGTGTAGGATGTGGCTATGTGGGCACAATTTTGGAGAATGGACCCACATGTGTGTACCCAGGATATGTACATGTGTCCAATTCACCTCATATGAATACATGAGCTGTGTTCCCCTATGCATGTAAGATGCATGTACACATACCTTGCATAGTACTTAACTGTGTGAGTACATCCATAAGTGTGCTTGGTGTGTACGTGTGCCCAGATCCATGTGTACAAACGAGATGATCCCAGTGTGTACGCACCCACACAGGTACCCCCGAGGTATGTACTGTGTGCAGCTCCCTACAGTGACACAGAACTTTGCCTGAGTTCACAGTGTGTGCACTGTTTACATAAACACTATGATGTACACTGCAGAACTGGTTTCCTTTTGGAGCCTGGAATTTTAGAAAATATCAGACACAAGTTGCCTATATGACCAGCCCCAAACAAAAATCTTAGGTACCGAGTTTCCAAGGTAGACAAGACCTTACACATGTTCCCATAACTCAGAGGTAGAGGAATTAAATGTGCACTGTGGAATGTATCCTGTCCTCCAGGAGGAAGGACAGCAGACCGCATCCTCTACCTTCTGCTTTAGATGGTGACACTGTAATACACTTAGCCCAGTTATATGACAGGTCTCGAGAGTCTGCCTAGCAGATCATTGAGCCCGAAGGTGGCCTCGAAGACCCCGACACACCACACCTGACTGAACTCAGGCGTGTATGTGCACACACAGGGTGAGCACATGTGTGCTTGTGTACTTGCCCTTGTGTATGGTGTAACTGTGAGCAGCACTGCACGTGTGACTGCACCCAAGTGTTCATATGTATACTGTCCATACATATATGCACACACCTTCATGTACAGTCTGTGTGTGCATGCACAGGGAATGTGCATATGTGTGTATATGCACATATGAGTATATATGGGGTGTGCAGATACTTGCATATAAAGTATTTGTGCAAGGCTATGACTATGCCAGCTGGCATACATGTGCTGGTATACATATGTGCTTACACATGTATATGTGACTGTCACACTTTGCTAGACCTTCCACTGGGACAGTGTTGGCTCTGTGTGGCTTTGGGGTCATTAATAATGTGTAAGTAATTAACTTCTATGAAATGTAGCCCTCCCTTCCCAGGTTTTCCATCTTTGATTTTTTTTTTAACATATAGTTTAGACCAGCCTTGAACTTATGTAGCCCAGGCTGGCCTCAGAATCATGGCAATCGTGGGGGCCAGAGAGATGGCTCAGTGGAACAAGTGCTTCCTTGGCAAGTGCAGGGACCTGAGTTCAATCCCCAGTTCCACAAAAAAAAAAAAAAAAAAGAATCATGGCAATCCTCCTGCCTGAGCCTCCCAAGTGCTGGGATTAACAGGTGTGTACCACCTCATTCAGTTCATTTTAAGAACTTCTGATCCATTAATTTTTCCAATTACTTATGGAAATGTGGGGCCTAGTAAACAGGAAATGGCCCTGTGGCCCAATTCAGGCTTTGGGCATAGGGAAAAGCATTTCTAGGGACAGTAGGGAATATGTCTGCAAAATGGTAAGGAGGCGCATGAACTCACCCCTCACTCGCTTCCATCACAAGGTCCTGTGTGCCCTTGGGTGACTGGGCTAGCTCCCAACCTCCCTGAGCCTGGCGTCCCTACTCCAACTCCTCACCTTTGAGGGGAGGCTTCAGTGCAGCAGCAGGCAGACCTGGAAATGCTAGCTCCACTACCTCCCACAGTTTGGATTCAAAGAGAACTAGTTTCAGACTCACACCTGGAATGGGCTCATGGGACAGGACAACACCATCCCATCCTGACCCAGGCTCTGCTTCTGGAAAAGCAAGGCACCACTCCCAACTGCCAAAGCTTAGAAAGTCAAACAAGCTGATCTGTCCATGCCCACAGGCTGGGACTAATTTAAAACTTGCATTTGGTATATTCTTTCACTTACTAATTGGGTAACTTTGGAATGAAGGATGGTTGTTAGTGGTAAATGGGCTTAGATTCAAGACAAGTTAGATTCAACTGTAAAATAACGTATTTGTGTGAAGCTTCTGGTTTTTCTGAGCTTCAGTTTCCTCAAACTATGTGTTGGGGGGGGTGCACGCACGCATGTGCGTCACTCGATTGCCAATTCTCTCCCTTTAATCTGGCTCCATATCACCAGAGAACTCAGCCTTGAGTTTTATACACAAGCTGGCCATAAGACCTGAAAGTCAGACTCCCCTTCATCTTGGCCCAGCCCAACACTACAAGAGTACACTCGGGAGCACCTGCCCCCTGGTGGCCACAGAAGGAATACACAGCCAGGTGTCCAATTTGGTGGCAGCTAGGAGCCTCTGCCCTGAGCTGGTCAAAATCTGCTTACAGCCCTGCCATGATGGCTGAACCCAGACAGGAGTCTGCCACGGAGGCTGAGAGGGTTTTTTTGGCCCTACTAACCCCTGCAAGAAGAGCGCAATGTGGCTCCTCAGACTGTCACCAGTGGTACCCAGTGCCTTGGAGAAAGCCCTTGCTTTGGAATGGGGTGGAGGATGGGGCACCATAGGCAAGCTCAGTCTCATGAATTCCAGCAAGAGCAGGAACCACACACTCAGCAGGACCCCAGACACTTCACACAAAGCTGGGCCCAAGCCCACATACGCCAGGACTATTGCAAGCACACAGCAAATACACTCCACACGCACAGAGGAGGGGGCCTAGGCTGGGGGGCAGAGGAAAGCCTCAGGCTGGCTGCCTCTGAGGCCTGTATCAGTGTGCTTCCTGGGGCTGCCTCTCTTGCCAGCCCTGCAGCACAGCAGTCCCTGGCCTGTCCTAAGGAAGCTTCTCTCCCCTCCCTGAAGCTCTCCTCTCTCCTCCCACAGGATTTCCTGACCAAGGGTCCTTAACACCACAGCAGGGATGGACCAGCCACCAGGGGGCCACACAGCCTCTCCTGTCATTCCCAAACCCATCACATCCCAACTCAACAACATCCTGAGCTCAAGAAGCCAGCCCTGTCACAAATGCTGGTAACAGGCCTGGGCCAGGTTCAGGCAGCAGCTAGAGACTTCAGAGGCTTCTCAGCAAATGGGCAGCAACCTGCTAGCCATTTCAACATCCATGACCCCGGACACACTTACTTCCTGATTTTCAGGCCCTCTTCATTGTCTGGGAGGAAAAACTCAAAAGATTTGTAGGTCTTGACCATGTCCCGACGGTACTGGCCAACATTGAATTCTGGGAAAAAGGAAAAGCCCAGCTTTCACAGAGCAGCAACACCACTGATCCCTGACGGGATCCTCCCCAGGCCTCCCTTTTCCTTTCCCCTCCCCCACAAACCCCCAGGATCCTCCAGAGCCTCACCTCGAGTAGGTACCCCAATCCAGTTCAGGTATCGGGTCAGCTTCTTAGAAATATAGGTCTTGCCCCTGGCAGGCAGGCCCACCATGACAATGAGTGTTGGGCAGTTGGTCATGCAAACTGGAAGACAAGCAGCACACAGTGTCAGACTCTCTACCTTCATCTTTCAGCCTCAGAGCACAAGCCTGGTACCACCTGAATCTCCTGGCATTACACAGGGCGCTGAGGACCCCTAAGCCCAGCCTCAAGCTGGCACAAGCCTCTTTCCCAGGGCTGTCTGGGCTCTGGCAGATGCAGGGACTTCATCAGCCCTTCTCATCCTGACATGCACCAGCAGTAAAAAAGTTTACAAGACCATGCTAAGATCATGCCAGGGGCTATTTAAGGCCAGCCCCTGCCATCCATGAATCCGCATCCTAACCTGCTCCCATCTTGCCCTGTCCAAGTAACCACTCAATGTTCCAGCACTCAGAGTCCCACTACTTGACCTTCCTGTTGTGACTTTATTTTCCTCCAGGAGATTCTACATCCAAATGACGCACCCTCATCCTCAAACTACTCGCCTCACAGATGAGTCTGCTCTCTCCAGACTCAACACTTGGGCTGGAAGCATCCCTGAAGTGTCTGAGCCATTTAAGGCCTGGGGCCTGGCAAGGCATTAGTGTTCAGGGGCTGTGAGCAGGTGCAGGGAGGTAGCTGGAAGGATAGCAGGGCGAGGGCCACAAGGGCTGGGCCCAGAGGCCCAAACCAATGCTTACAATGACAGCTCCTCTGATAGCCTGCCACCACCATTTTATGTGCCATCAGATCAGTGCGCCAATCAGAGGAGCCGCCAAGCGGAAGATGGAAGAGTCTGAACGCAGCTCCTCTGAGCCACAGTTGGCTAGGGCAGACACCAAAGCAGCAGAGCTACCAGCCTTCTGTGACCCAGCTCAGCTTTCAAGGCAGTCAAATGTGGCTTCACCTCAGAAGCTTCATCAATCTTAGGATCTGGGCCAACAAAGCAAAAGCAGGAAGATAGATGACCAGTGGTGGGGAACAGTCACAGCCTCTCCTCTGCTTGCCTGGTTCTGCAGGGCCCTTCACTCGCAAGCTCTCCTTGCATGGACTGCCAAGGACTCATGATCTCCCTCAGAAGGCAGGTCCTTCTGAGCCTTGGGTCCAACTCTGAGCTTGTGCCTTCACCTAGTAAATGGGACAATAATCCCTTGGAAAAGATCTACCACTACCTCTATGTGTCAGCCAACACACTTCCAGGAAGCCATGCCCTCAACAAGCAATGCCCTTGGGATGTGGGCTATGCAGAATGCAGCGACCTGGTCCCAGACAGGTCCTGTCTAAAAGCAAAGGGGTCTGCATGCCAGTGGGGGCTCCATTACTCTTTTTTTTTTTTTTTTTTTTTTTTTTTTTTTTTTTTGCTTGATGAATAAGTTTATTGGTCTTTATCTGAAAAATCTTCATAGAAATTTGGTTTAACTCTCAGCAGCACGCTCCTGAGCTCTGAGGAAGCTTGCCTTCTTTTGAGCTACCCGATCTTTCTTCTGGGCAAGAGACATTTTGGGACGGTTCCACCTCTTCTTTTTAACTTCTCTCTTCGGCTTCTTTTCATAGACTGGATTCTCTCGTATAGCAGCATGAGCTTTCTTATACATCTCCTCCATCATGTCTGGAGTTACATTGTTCTTTATGTACTGAGAGAACTGTTTCTTGTAAGCATCTTCATCTTCTTCCATTAGGTAGCGCATATAGTCTGCGACATTCTGACCCATGATGCGCTTCCGATGTACTTCTGCATTAAACTCCTTGCTTTCAGAGTCATAACCAGGGAATCGTTTGGTACTGTGAGGGATAGACAGGCCTCCATCCACAGCACCCTTTAGGGCTCCAAAAACCTTATTGCCAGTTGTAGTTCTGGCGAGGCCTGCATCCAAGTAGCAGGTGAAGGCACCAGGCTTGCCATCAATGCTTTCCACATTGTACTCATCTCCAGTCACCTCCACCTGGCCTTCATAGATCTTATCCATGCCAAACCTATTGAGAAGCCTGCGGGCCAGCAGCAGGCCAGTACAATATGCTGCAGCATAATTTGTTAGGCCAACTTTCACACCATACTTTGGTAGTTCATGTGCGTATGCTGCACAGACTATCATATCCCCTTCAATACGGGCATAAGCAATCTGACAAATGATATCTCTGTTAGTTACACGAACTATCATCCTGTATTTAGGCGTGTTGTACTTATTTTTGTCCTGTATTACCAAGCGTTTCCTAGCATAGTAATCAGTTTTCCCCTCTCGTCGTCTTCTAAACTTCACTTGGTATCTCTTAAAGTAGGCCTTATTCTTGACAACCTTAACAAAACCCATCCTGTGTAATATAGACCCGCGTCCGCGGCCCTACACAGACCTTCCATTACTCTTATGCATGGCCTTTGTGCAAAAGTGACCCAAGCCCTGAGCCCCAGGGGAGGAAAGGAGGAGACCCCCCACATAGTGTGGGTTGACAGTAAGAGGGAAGAAACTTACCGGAAAACCTCAGTATTAGCTAAGGTGAGGTGAGAAGAAAACAAGTTAGGCAATGCTCTGCATTCTCAGGCCAGGAGACACTGTGGCCTGCATGGCTTGCGCAGTTCTTGCCAGTCTAGCCAGAGCCCTCAAGCCAGCTAAGGACAGTGTGTCAGCCACTAGCCAGGGGAACCACCTGGCCCCGGCTCCCATGCTGAGGTCACCTCATCCCACTACTGCATCAGGGATACAGCCTCAGCATGGGGCTTCTACGCCTTCTAGCTTCTCAGAGATGGCCCTGGCTCTTTCCATGGCCCCAACCTCCTCCTCCAACCTTTAGAGACAAGTAGGCAGTGAGGGCAGCAAATCAGACCTGGGCACAAAACAAGGCAATAAATCAGCTATCACCTCTGCTCCTCAAGATAAACCCCAAAGAAATGACCCAAAGAAAACCAAAGTTCAAGTATATTCACAGAAGCTTTGCTTATAGCAGCAAAACACTGGGGAAATACCTCTGCAAACAGAGGCACGACAAGGAGCGGACGCACCAGTCCTTGGCACAGGGAGCTGTAGTGTGCAGCCAGCTGTGCCGCTCTGAGCCTACAAGGACCCAACGCCAAGCAACAGGACTGCAGGACACACTGACGACAGAACACACCGACTGCAGCACTGAGCAGATGCAGAAGAGAAGAGGAACTCTGTAAGCCCAGACTCCTCACTGGTCTCTTTCCTGTAAATATGTTGAAATATAGGAATCAAGAGACCTGAGACACACCTGCCTACTTCCTGGCACTTCCATCTGAGGGACAGCCACAAGTCCCTGGAGCAAGATTCAGAACAGATTCTTATGTACACCTCTTCCCATCTCCTCGGGCTAAACTGGATGAGGAAGAACTCTATGTAATAAAACAACAGGAACTAGCTGTGGTGGTAAATGCAAGTTCTAGCCCAAGCTAAGCAATTTACAGAGATCCTGTCTAAAAATTTAAAAATAAAAAGGCCTGGGAATACAGCTCAGTGTCAAGACACTTGTTTTAATTTCTAGTACCACCAATCAAAAAACATTTTTTTAAATAACAGCTAGGTATGGTGGCACATGCCTGTAGCCCCAGCACTTGGGAGGCTGAAGCAGGAGGATCGCTGCTGCAAGTTCAAGGCCAGCCTGGGCTATATAGCAAGACCATGTCTCAGATAATCAAATAAATAAACATTAAGTTTTTAATTTTTTAAAAATAAATTATGTAAAAAAATAAAATAAAATAAATTGTGTTACCTGCCATATTTGACTAAGAGAAGCATCTTTTCTACCATGCTTGCTGCTAAATCTCTCCACGCCTTGCCCCCAACGTCCTCCAGGTCTGAGCTGAGAGACCAGTACTAGGTAGGGTTAGAGCTTCCAGGCCCCTGGGTGTGGCTCTGAATTTTATCAAGTGAGGGAAGAACTGCTAATGACAAGTGGCGGGTGGAAGTGGAAGCTCTGAAGACTAGGGTCCACACCCCAAAGAAAACCTACTACACAACATAGACAGGCTGCTTCCTCTTCCCCACAAAATCCTGTGACCAGATTTCCCCCACCCACAGGTCTTTACTGTCATTGAGTCTTCTGGCCGAGCCCTAAACCTATTACACAAGAGGTAAAATCCAGTGTAGGCCCTGGGAACCAGAGGGGCTGCAGGGCTGGTTCCACGTTCACTACCCACCCACCTTCTACTGGAAACTCTGGGACCTCAGATGGGCCCAATCCTCCAAACACAACCTGCAGCCTTCTCTTTCGCCTCTTGGGCGTCAAGAAGTTCTGGGCCCACAGCCAGCCTACACTAGCCAAGCCCCTCTGCTCAGGCCAGAGCTATGCTTTAATCCTGCTCTTAGAGCGTGAAGAGACACACACCTTGCATCAGCAGCTGCGACCTGGCAGGTCTCTTCCCAAAGAGCCGTGGCTCCCTTCTCACCTGTGCTGGGGTGTTGGCTCTTGCTAACACATCAGCCCAAACTCTGCTATACCACGTGCAGGAAAAACGAAGTCAAGGAGAAGTGCTACCTCCTTCCACTTTTCAGGGACCTGCTTTTCAGAGACTTCCAGGATGATGACTGTCTCATCCCACTAAGTCGAAGGCCTACATGATCAGTTCAGGTCACACAGCGGAATGTCCTGACTCCAGAAGTGTACGTCCTCACTCACCTCCCTTTCTGTAGCAATAGTAGCTACCCTCATCAGGACTGCTGAAACAGGACGAAGGGCCTCAGCCTCCACATCTGCAGAAAAGTGAGAAGGTCTGGCCAGACCAAGGCCACTCCCCTGGGGACTCAGCACACAGTTCAGGAATCATCACAACCTCTACCAGGACTCACGGTGTGATCAGAGACACAAACATACCTCTCCGCTGGGACTCACTTCATGGTCAAAGTAATTGCTACAGGCTGAGGGGCAGAAGGATCACAGAACACTTCCCTCCCTTCTCATGCATAGGCAGAGGTCCAAAGCTCAGGGAGCCCCAGCACCTCACACTTTCCTGAAGCCATGTCACAGCTGTACCATCATTTGTACTAGATGTCCTCTGAGTTCCTGCCACATTGTAGTTTCACTACAATGTTTCACTTACTCTTATAACAGACCTTTCTTTTCTCTGGTATGAAGAAAGTTGCAGACTCATTTATGGATAAGCAGAAAGTTAAGGAATGTTTCCCCCTTCTAGTTTAACCCTTCCCATGAATCCACACAACATCCCTGCATGACTTCAGAGGTAATCAGTTCACATGGCATTATATCCTGTCTATCCTGACCACATCTACACTTCCCGAGAGTCCCTCCTGAAATTTGGCTTTAAGGCGAAAGGACTTACTCAGAGAACTAGCCCATTCAGATTAATTCTATGCAAATTCTGGGCTCAAGTCAAGTGATTCTAGGGCCACACAGTTCAGTTTTCTCCTGTCTACAGGCCCACTCTCTGGCCAAGAAAGAAGAGGGGCTGAGTCCACGATGATCTCCCTGGTGGGGAGCACAGGAGCCCATTCCCTCCTGGAGGTGAGGGTGGCCAGGCCCGACTCCTACCAAGCCAAATGGCCCAAGCACCTGTCCCCAAGCCTGTTCTGCCACACTTATCTTCAGCCCACTATTGTCACTGCCACCTCACTCCTCCTGAGCTCCCTTCCTGTCCCTGACTCTATCCACCAGTCACGATAAACCTCCCCTAACCGGAGTCCCCACCTGTCCCCTGCCCCCACCCAGGCCGTCCATCTGCTCCTGTGGCGCACCACCCTCCTCTCCAGAGGAGCCGGCCTCACCACCACGCTGGCAGGCGTGCAGAGCGGGCCGTCCGTTGCTGTAGGGCATCCAGATCTTCTTCAGGGGGTTCTGGGTCAATTCCCGTGGGGACGCCATCCCGTAGCCAAGAGGAGTCGGTCTGCGGTAGCCTCGGACCCTGTAGCTGAGCCACCTCGGGCCACCCGAGGTCCCGCCCCTCGGGCCCCGCCCCTTTTCAAGCCTAGACCGGGCTGTCCATCTTCCCATAAGCCCCGCCCCAGGACGATAGGTTCCACCCCAACTGAAGAGCTCCCTCCTCCCCCGTCTCCTACTACGCATGCCCAGCTCACCTAAGGTTCCCTTTTTGGGCCAAACGTTCTCCTTCCCTCAAACTAGGTCGAGAATGCGCGTGCGCATTGCCCAACAGGCGCAGATTATGCAAGCCACGCCCCGGATGCGCAAATGCAACACAAACCCAACTGTGCTGATTTGCATAGGTGTCACCCCAGACCCCGCCCAGGACGCTGCAGCCCCACCTCCACGGTGTCTGTCGCTCGGTCCCCAGCAAAGCGTGAACTCTAGGTACCCAGCAGGACAGGGCTTCATAGTGTTGGGGGGACCTGCAGGAGTCCGCGGGCCCTGTTGGTCAGGACCAGCTGGCAGGCCTAGCAGCCCTGTGACTGACCGGCTGTGTCGGAGGCTGCCAGCCCCACAGCGCTCCCCGCAACCCACTCAGTGCTGGGCCCACACTTCTGCTGAGTCCCACGTCTCTGACATCTCACAGGAGTTACCTGATCAACCACACCAGAAAAAGCTCTTTCATCTCATGGACAGGAACATGCACAAATCTCAAAAGTGGCCATGTGTTTCCTAGTTTTGGCTGCAGTGAGCTTGGACTAGACTCCTGCCACAGAGAACAAATGCCTGGCACCTTGTAACCAAGTTCTTTGTGGACTCCCTGATCCCTGACAGTATATTAGTTTTCTTTCAAAAAATTTATTTTCACCAATTAGATTTTTAATCATTGAATTTTTTAATCATTAGATTTATTTGTTTGTGGGTTGTGTAGGGACCAGGGAGACGGCTCAGTAGAATAAACACTTCCCTGGCAAGTGCAAGGGTCTGAGTTCAATCCCTGGTTCTGCAACAAAAAAAAAAGTCATTGTTTGTGGGTTATTTTTTTGTTTTGTTTTGAGTTTTGGTACCGGGGATTGAATTTAGGACATTGCACTTGACAGAGTTTACATATTTTAGATAAGGGAACAAAGACAGGATTAAACCAAGGGCTTCAAACTGAACTACATCCCCAAGTAGCACACTCCCCCCTTATTTTATTTATTTATTTTTTATTTTTTATTTTTTATTTATTTTATTTGGAAACAGGGTCTTGCTAAACTGCACAAGCTGGGCTCAAACTTGCAATCCTCCTGCTGGAATTACAAGCTAATGCCACCAAGCCAAGCTTATTTTTTAAACAAGCTTCTATCTCTTCATCATGAAAATAGGGTGCACAGATCATCGATCTTGCAAGATAATGCTGTAGATTAAATATGTCAGTCTATGAGAAAGTCACTCTAAAACGCGTTAGTGCTCTCATTCATTATAATCATCGCCCCTCCTATCCTTGGACAATGTGGGGGCAAAGGGCCAGAGAGAGCTCCAAAGTTCACAAGCACTTCACTCACTGTGTTGTGTTTGGCCCCACCAGACCCGTGCAAGGTCTTGCGTCAGGTCTGCCAGCCACTTTCTGCTGTAGTCCTCACCAGCTGGGCTTAAGCCTGTAACACATTGCCTTCTAGCAGTGTCCTCCATCACAGCCTAGCAAATCCTGCATCCTCAAATTGTCTGTTCCCAAAGTGCACTCAGACAGCAACAAGGGTCCCAGAAAATGCGGCTGACCTCATTTGCTGTAGGTGTAGTGTGACTCCCATGTCCTTCCTCCCATTCCCCTGCCTTCAAGCCTCCAAACCACCAAATACTTCAAAACCTGGCAAGGACTATTACAATGACAGACGCACAAGCCAGGTGTGGTGGCACATGCCTGCAACCCTGGGGCAGGAACATTGCCTGTGTTACATCGTTTAAAGCCAGTTTGATCTATAAGACCCAATCCCAAAAACAAGACAAAACAAAAAGATGACAGACTCATTGCTGCCCATTTCACAGAAAAGAAAGGTTCAGGAGATCCAAACGCTGCCCTAATACCCACTCTAGCTGCTTAGTCGAGGAATGCCCTGCCTCGGGTGGGGTAACCCATTTCCTTCTTCCTCATTTTCCAGCTGCAATGTTTGTCCCCAAGCCTGTCTCCAGGCCCAGTGGTAACCCACTTGGCCCTGCTTCTCCAAAGCCACCCGTTCTGTTCCTGACACAGCCAGCACTTGTGTTTCCTGGCCACTGCCAAGGCCGTATTGGGGTCATCCAGGCTTCAGAAAACTCACTGCCATATGCACACATCCTGCACAACCCCTAGTATACCACTGGAGATGTTGCCTTCTCTAACATCCACAGGTACCCAGCCCCTAATCAGACCTGCTTTCCTCTTCCCCAGCCCCTCTGGATGTAAGAGCTGGAAGAAGGGAGTAACCAAAAAAGGATAGGGGATTAGTGATATCTTCATACCAGATAGCCTGAGCCTTGCTCCCAGGAAATACCACAGTGAGGTACCTCCACCCCTTTGCCAGCTGACCCTGGGCTTGCCCAGACACACCCTTCCAAGTCTATAATATCCAACTGGGAGGACATAGGTCAACATCAGAAGCCTGGGCTCCTCCCCAAGGCCAGGGTCTACATCTGCTCTGAGCACACTTCCCATCTCCCCTCCCATGGCCTCACTTCTTAGGTAGAAAATGGAGGATCTGAATACAGAGAAGGGTCCAAAATCACAGAGCCAGTACACAGCACACAAAGACTCAGCAGAACCACCAGCCTTCACCCTTGCACCTTGAACCATTGCTGTGCTTCCCTCCTTCACACCCAGGCTCTTCTGTGTTCCTCCTGGCTTTCTGCTCCCCCAACACTAACAAATGTCCGATAGAATAATTGGCCCTCATGGTTTCTCCCTCCTCAGGGCATCTCCAAATGTGCTAGCTCTCCTGTCCCGTGCACAGGAAGTGTGCTGGGGCATGAGTGTGCACTTCTGTGTGAATATAACCGACGCAGTCTCTCTCTTCCGTGAATTTGCCTAACCTGACCCTGGCTGGCTCCTAGGGTGCTCACTGCACTGACCAGTGGGCCTCCTCCCAGCATCCCATGCCAGAAGCCAGGGAGTGGCCAAACTCTTCAACTCTCAGTTCTCAAGGCTCAAAGTCTCCCCAGTCCCCATACCTGCTGCCCAGTCCTCCATTCCAAGCATAAAGACCCAGGGGCTAGGATGCATGTCACGAAGGTCCGCACCCCAGGGCACACTTGAACACACAGAAGCACACCTAGTAATGAGCCCTGCACCCAGGCAGTGCACAGGGACCAGCAGGCCCTGCAGGGCCTACTGCTCTCTGCTGCCCCCTTTGTCTCTGTTCCTCCATCCTGCGCTGCAGTCACTGAGGGGCAGGGGAAGTTGCCAGGAATCCTAGCTTCCTCTGGCCATTTCCAGGAAGGACTGACACAGTGATTTCCTGGGCTTAGAGCTCAGAATATGAGGTTCCAACTATATGTACAGCCATTTGAGGACAGCCTGTTACCCTGATCTGCACTTCCTGGTTCCATCCTGACACAGGGCACACAGTAGGTACTCAAAGCGACTCAGGACCAGCCAGGGCACCAACAAGGGGCTCAGAGTGGTGCATGAGCAAGAAAGGGTGTGCAGGAGGCATTTAGAGATGCTTGGGACCAGCACAGGGCGCACACTGGGTACCTAGAAGCGCTGGTTTCAGGGCTAAGGCCACATGATACAAACAACTTTTCAAATGAGACTCTGGGCCTCCCCACTCTGGGTGACCCCTTGGGGAGGACCTAGATGAACATAACCCCTTGGAGGTCAGCAAGTGACAGAGTGGGAGGGCCTTTGGCAGCTTCAGTGACAGCCCCTCCCCCTGGGCTGGAGGAAGACACTATTTATAGTTTCCCCTTAGCCCAGCCCCCTCTGCCCTGTAAGACAACAGTGCTCCCCCTCCTCCGGGCCACTGACAAACTGATGTCTTCTCAGAGCACCCGACATAGGGAGATATACCCAACACTCAGTCTCCCTCCCTGCACCCCAGTCTTTCCCCAAACTCCCATCCTCCCCACACTGCCCCGTGCCTACCCTGCCCGCCGCTCCCCGGCCCTGGGTTGGTCAGAGAGCTGCCTCTTAACGTGCCTCTGTCCATCCTGCCACCGAACTGGCCAGGGCCACCGCCCCCTATGGCTCAGGGGGAAGAGGGTAACCCCGCCTTTGCCTGCCTCAGGCAGGCTCTGAAGAAAGCAGCTCCGCCTCTCAGCCGCCCTAGGCCCGCCTGCCAGGGCTGCTTACTACTGTGAGGTTGACCAGGCAGGCAGCTGCACACGGGCACAGCTATCGCCTCTCTCCAGTCAAAGCTGCCCAGGGACTGCCCTCATCTCTGGGCGGAGCTTCTGCCCTACGTGCAGTGCCTGCCTCATCTTGAGGCAGGCCTGCCCACGAGCCCAGATCAGCTAGCTCCCACCCAGCTACGGTGGGAGGAGTGCAAACAGCAATACCTGTTCCCAAACTACTAAGACGCTGGGTGCATTAAGAGTCTGCAGAGGAAAGGTAGATGGAAGAGCAGAGAAAGTAGCTGGGACTCAGCCTTGATGTGCATGTGATGGCGTCATCTCAGCCATTCCATCCTCCCATCACTCGGCATTTATTGAGTTCCCCTTGCAGCTAGCCACGGCCTTCAAGCACAGTGTATGTCACTTTTTGCACATGAAGCTCGGTGGCATCACCTGCTTTACAGACAAGGAGACAGGTTCAGAAAGGTGGCACCTTTGCTCAGGGCATTAGTGAGGAAGGGGGAGAGTCAGGTAGGAGCCCTGGAGAAATGGGCCCCCTCTCCCCTGAGACCTGCATGTCAAGGCTGTGTGTGCAGGAGTGTGGGGAGGACAGTGGCCAGCTGTGCACTGTGTGTACTTCGCTCAGGCTTGGAGGATGAACATACCCCACTGCCCACACACAGCTGTCAGAAACTTGTAACGGGCAGCACATGCAGCCCGAGGCAAGGCTGCCATGGCCAGGCTTCCCACACATGGCCAGCTGCTTGCGCCTCACAGTATCCATCCAGCTGCACAAAACATGCATGTGACCATGGCCAGCATTGCCTCTGTGCTACATGGGGGAGCCAGGCTATGGGCCTAAAGTAGCTGCTTCATGCAACACTAGGCTTCTGTGTCTCACCTCATGAGTGAAACACAACTGTGACCAAGTGTTACAGTGTACAGATGTTTGGGGACTGTGGGGGGCCCTGACATGCAAGGTTCCATATGGCAGTGACCGTATGTGGTACTGTCCAAGTTGTGCAGACATACAGTAAGTCCAGGGTGCCCACAGACTTCATAGGGCTCCAATGAGATCCAACACTCTGTGACCAGAGGCTCCTGAAACAGTATCTAGGCACATTCTTCCCAGATGTCACATTGTCCAGCTGTCTGTTGCTTTCCTCTACGTTTTCCCATTAGGGTTGCCGCAGTTTTTATGATCCCTTCCTCAGCATCAGCCAACATGGGCCAGGATGTGGGCATTGGCAGCCGCCTGCTCCTTGGCAGCCCTGGTCTGGGCCTGGTCCAGTAAGATCTGCAGGAGGCCGATGGGGACGTCCAGCGAGAGGGTGATGCGTGGGCCAAGGCGGGGGCCAGGGCGGGGGCGACTCAATGCAGAGGACAGACCTGTGGTGGTAGCTGAGGGGCTTACTGAAGCCACAAGACAAGGAGTGGTCTGAGAACAGTTCTGAGGGAAGATCTGGAGAGCTGGGAAAGGGGTCACTGGGACAGCCAGAACCCTGGCCAACATGAGGACTGTCAGCACCCACGGAGCCCACTTGGTCATCGTGGCATCTGGCTGCAAGGAGAAAACACACCCAGGGCAAAGGCTCTGATTAACAATAGTTTATACAGATCCAGCTATCAAGAACAGAGAGAAAAGAGGAAGGGATGGAGAGAGGAAGAGAAACAGATGGAGAGAAAGTGATAGAGAGAGGAAGATAGATGGAGAGAAAGAGACAGAGAAAAGATGGAGAGAGGAAAATATGGAAAGAGAAAAAGAGATGGAGAGAGGAAGAGTTGGAGAAAAAGAGAAAGAGGGAGGGAGAAAGAGATGCAGAAAGAGAGGAAGAGCTAGAGGTAGAGGGAGAGTGGAAGCGGGGAGAGAGAAAGGTGTTTTGTCTTTTTTGTGTGTGTGTGGAACCAGGGATTGAACTCAGGCCCCTGCACTTGCCAGGCAAGCGCTTATTCTACTGAGCTATGTCCCCAGCCCCAAGAGAGAAAGAGATTGAAAGAGAGAGGAAAAGATGGGGAAGGAGAGAGTGAGAGAGAGCGAGAGCGAGAGTGAGAGCGAGAGCGAGAGCAAGAGAGAGAGGAGGAAGATCAATGACTGAGATGGATGGAGCCAGAGCAAAGCAGGAATATGGAGAAGAGTGAGACAGGTAGTACTCCAGAGATAAGACATAACTATAGAAATAAAAATTCAGAGGCAAAAAATGTACAGAATGATAAAAAGGGAGACAGGATCCAGCCAGGGAGCTGGCAGCTGAAAAGAAGTAGCAAATCCTTGAGGCAGAGAAAGAACCAAAGATCCCAGAGCCCCCCAGGTTCACTCACCGCCAGGACCCTCCTATCACAAGCAGTTGCCGGCTCTAGCTGCTGTCTTCCTCTGGGTGAAGTCGAGGTTGCTGCCCGGTGATGCTGTCCTGTGACCCAACCCTGTGCCTCTTCAGGGACCATTCATCTCCTGGAGTCCCTGAGGCAGGAGCTGGGGCATATTTCAGGGTGCGAGGCAACCCCCACCCCATGACTCAGCCTTTCCTGGGAACATTGAGGGTACATTTCTCCTTTTTGAGGGGGATAAGCTGGACACTGAGGGTCACAAGACAATGACCAGGGCTTGGCAGCAGGACTTCTACCCACACAGAGTAATACTGACCCACCACCAGAGAATATCTATCCCCCCAGCACAGAGTCACAGACACAAAAAAAGTCACAAGAGCCTTTTAAAACAGCAGCTTTAATGCCCCCCGCAAAATCAGCACCATAGTATCACAGGCTTGGGTCAAGGGACCGTCAGACACTAGTCACATCTGCACACTGCCCACAGCTGTCCCCCTGTGAGTCATCTGCCACAATGGGGGTTTGTGTGTCCTAGACCCACAGGACCAAGTCACTGAAATAACGGACATATACACCACGCTCACATGCACACCGGCTTCTTAGCACCAAGAGGAGGGACCACGGGGCCTGCAGAGACCCTGGCCCCTCGAGGGGACGCTGAACACCAGCCCGTCGTGGTGGCCTCAGCTCCTGGCAGCACCTGAGTGGGAATGTCAGAAACTGCCTTTGGTCCTCTGATCTCGCTCATGTCAGCCAAGGAGAAAGGCAGTCGAGCACCCCGAGCACCCCGGGAAAAAGCTGAGACTTGGCAGGGAGCTGAGGCCCAGCAGGGAGGGGACCTGTGGAGGGCTTCACTAGTGTACTTCTGATTGCAGTTCTTTGATCTGGGGATCTGTCCCAGGTCCTGTATCCGAGGGTGCTTCTCAGCCCGGACCTTGTTCAAGGCCTCTGCACCCAGCCTGGATCTGGGTGCCCAAGCCCCATAGAGGTGGGTATAGGTCCTTACCTGTTCTTGAGCTGTGGACCACTCGTGGTGGGCAGCGGTGCTCACAGGCCTCACGAGTCCCAAAACGATTGGCATTCCCTCCACAGCCACCATAGACAAAGGGGTGACAGGCCGCGGTGCCTCCTGGCACAGCCCGATGGTACCAGCGCAGGGTGTAGGCAGTGCAGGAGCCCTCATCCAGCGGCAGGGAGCAGGGGTCTGGGGCCAATGGGATTGGGTGAGCAAGGTGATAGAGGTTAGAGTGGGCCTGGGAGTGTCAGTGAAAGACCAAGGACTGGCTCTGCCTGGCCCTACCTGAGCTCCTCTGGCCCGGCCCTCATCCTACCTTCATTATCCCAAGGAGGCTCAGGGTCCTGGTATTCCTCCACAGAATACTCAGAGTATTCAGAGAACTCATCATCTTCAGGGGGTACTTGGTCTACAGGCAGGATGGGAGCACTGTGAGAGGGAACTGCTGGCCCTGGGACAGGTGGGCACCACTGATCTCCCACCCTGGGCACACAAGGTGCCCATGCTCATGCCCTGCACATGGAACTTGTACACAGCACATGCCTGGCATGTATGGGCCCCTGTGCACATGCACAACCCATACAGGCCCAGGGTCCACATGTCCTCACCCTCGTCTTCTACGTGGGAGACCTGCAGCACAGGCACCAGCCGGTGTTTCTGGGGACCAGCCGTGTCCGCAACATAACTGGGGAGGGGTCCTGGAGCACAGAGCAGGTGATGAGCCCTGGTGATGCACTGGGGCTCTCAGGGACAACCACCCAGCCACACCCCTGCTGACAGGACTCAGGCAATGGCCCAGGGAAAGAAATTTCCAAGTATAGGAAATTACTCACGTGATCCTGATGCGATGAACTGGCCTTGGCAGGCTGGAGGGAGCAGAAAAGGGCAGAAGGCAATAGAGAGGAGAGTAAAAGACAGAAACGGATACACAGAGCACAGGGCAGATTGAGATGTACAGAGGACAGCAGCAGAAGCAAAACAGAGAAGAGAGGAAGGGAGGTAGAGAAAGACAGAAGAAGAAAAAGGAAGAAAAGCAGGGGACAGGCCAGCAAAGGGCAAGTGAGGGAGATGGAGAGAAATAGGTGAGCATAGACAGTGAACAAAGTTTAGAACAAGAGTGGGAAGAGGCAGGGCTTCCCTTTTGATGCCCCTAAGGTCATCATGGCCCTTCCCCATTAGGCCCAGTGGCCCAGCTCTGCACCTCCCCCCATGCATAACCAGGCTGGGACACTGCAGCCACCACCTCTGCCTGCATGTGGCCCTCACTGGATTCTATCAACATGTCTGTCAGGCAGCACATGTATCCTGTGTATCCACCCATCTCCATGACCCTAGTCCCCCTCCCTAAGCTCTGGGGATCAGCGAGCCCCTTCCTAGTAACCAAGATGGAGTGGGCATGGGGTCCTGAGGTCTCCAGGCTGGGCTCACTCACCGCAATGCTGACTCATCTCTTGACGCACAAAGCCCCGAATGTCATCCTCCTAGAAACATACGACCACAGTGAACAGGAAAACCCATGAATCACAGGAGTGTCAGGCCTATAACACAGGGCTCAAGAAGAGACCAATTCAGTAGGGCCCAGGATACAGGTGGCAGGATGTGAGAGGCAGGGCCCAGTCCCCAGGCTTCACGCACCGTCATTGCAGCTTCTCCCTTCTCACCACGGGGGCCAGCAGGACCCGGCCGCCCCTATGTGCAACAGATGGGACAAGGCTGTGACCTCAGGTCTCAGGGACCCAGAGTCACCCCCATCTCTGAGCCCAAGTCCAGGGATCCCCACTCACCTGTTCCCCTCTCTCACCCGGGGTCCCAGGGGGCCCAGGAGCCCCTACCACACTCTCTCCAGGGGGACCTCGTTCACCCTGTCAGATACAAGGACAAAGCAATGGCGATCAGAAAATAATCAAGTTGGGGAACACAGGTGCAGAGGCTGAGGCAAGGAGAATGAAAGAGGGGCTGCAGGGTTATAAATCAGAAAGGTAAAAAGGGCAGGGAGGCCTGGGTAGAATGCTTGCACCCACCCCCAGCACTGCAAAAATAAAAATAAGAGTAGGGAAGTTCAAGGTCAAAAATCACAGCGGGGACCTTTACCTTCTGGCCCTGAAGTCCTTCAGGGCCTTTAGGACCAACACTGCCAGGTAGCCCTGGGGGACCACTAGAGCCATCATTGCCCCTGGGACCAGGGGAGCCCCCAATTCCTGGGGGTCCCTGGGGATGGATAGGACAGAGTCAGTAAGCAGAACCTCAAAGATGAACTCACTCTCAAAGAACATGCTTCCCTAAGTCACCACAGCCTTGGCTTCAACTTACCCGCTCCCCTTTTTCACCCTGGTCACCCTTAGGTCCTGATTGACCATCAAAGCCTCGGTCACCCTGGAGACAGAAGGAGCATGACAGGCAACCTGCCCTGACCTCCCTAACCTCCACTGACCACCTGGACCCAGTGTCCATTACTTCCCGTGATGTGAGCACCTGTGGTCCCCATGATGCCAGCCCCACTGAAGCCCCTACCCTGATGCACGTAACCCCTGCTCCATTTACCACCCTTTCAACCTCTCTGCTGCGACCCCAACCCAGTCTGAAACCTCAAAAGCGCCCCACATCATCCCCTAATAACCAGCCCTCCACAATCTTCCTTGACTCCAAGCATTCATGGATTATGGGTTTAGGTTTTTTTGAGTTTTGGGTTCAGAATCCCACTATTTAGTGCAGGCTGGCCTTGAATTTAACAGTGATTCTCCTGCTTCAGCCTCTGGAGTGCTGGGATTACAGGCATGTGCCATCATGCCCAGCCTTCATGACCTTATGGTAACCTCTCCTGCCCCATCCTGAACCCTGGTAAAAGATTGTACCTTGGGACCAATCAGGCCCTCTTTGCCAGGAGCTCCAGACTGGCCTGGCATACCAGGCTCTCCCTAGAGAAGAAAAAAGGCATGAAGTTGTCCCTGGCTCACCCATGCTATCCTCATTCTGGGGGTGCCCCACACTCACGATCTCTCCTTTTCGTCCTGCCAGCCCAGGGCGGCCTGGGAGACCAGCTTCTCCCTGAAGGCATCAGGAGGAGGGGGTCAGCCTTAGGTCCCTGCCCGTATGTGCCCCACAGCCCTGTTACTCTGTACCTTGTCTCCCTTCTCTCCATCAAGGCCACAGGCTCCCTTCACCCCTCGTTCTCCCTGAGAGAGAAAAGCAAGTGACAAAGCAACTTTCAG